TAGTCACTGCCCAAGAACCTCACAACCTGTTTTAACACCAGGCAGTCAGTGCCGAGACTCAGCAATGTCTTTGAGAGAAGACAGGTATGACCACTTCATGCCAGTTCTTTGTATGTTTTGGATGAAAAGACAGCGATGTGTTTCCAAGGATGCTTCTATACATCACTTGCTTAAAGACTCCTCTGCAGCCTCTTGTCTCATTTTATGGTCAGTTTCCACAAATACAACACACTCTCAACTCCAGGTTAAAGCCAAGAAGCCTCTAAGATGGCATTGGGCAAGTTTTATAAAGAAGTAAAAAGCTTGCCTTCATCCTCAGGACCTGGGTTAATGGAGTTCAGGACTCCATTAACCATCTGAATCCATGGGAGCTGAGAGATGGCTCAGAGCCTAAGATTTCATACTGCTTTGTAGAGGAGCAGCATTTGGTTTCCAGTACCCATGCTTCAGGGAACCAGTGCCCTCTTCTGGTCTCCTGACACTGCACTCATGCACAAACCCACACTCATACACACATATAGACATAAATAAAAATTAAATCTTAAAAAATACAAGCAAACAAAAACAAAACCCCAAACACATTGGAATCCATAGACTGGGGAGATAGTTCAGTTGGCCAAGTGTCTGCCTTGCATCTGTGAGGAACAGAATGAGGTCCTTAACCTACGTCATCAACAAGAGGCCCAGGCATGACATGTGCTTATATTCCCAGCACTGGGGAAGCAGGACACAGTGGATCCCTGGAGCTAGCAGCCTAAGCAGCGAGTTCCGGTCAATGGGAGACCCTGTCTCGGAAACTAAGGCAATCACCTAGGACTGTCCTCCTGCCTCCACAAGCATAACCACACACTAACACCTCCCACCACACACACACACGCCTGTGGGCACACACGCACATAGATACACACATTCACCTGTGAGCACGCACACAAGCACACATGTCCATATACTCTCCTGCATGCACACACACACGCCTGTGAGCACACACGCACATAGATACACACATTCACCTGTGAGTATGCACACAAGCACACATGTCCATATACTCTCTTGCAAGCACACACACACACAAATCTGAATCCTCTGGAATGTTTTGTTTTCTTCAACAAGGTTTTGACTATTACTTTTCCTTGTTCCTCTCATCTTGTCTTTCTAAGGTGGGTGGATGTGTTTATTCAGAAATCTTTCTTGCTGGGTGTGGTGGTGCAGGACTTTAATCCCAGCAGAGAAAGAGGAAGGCAGATACCTGTGAGTTTGAGGCTAGTGAGGTTTACATAGTGAGTTCCAGGCCAGCAATAGGGAGACAGTATCTTAAAAGAAAAAAAAAAGAGGGGTGGGTGGGTGGAGAGATGACTCAGCAATTAAGAACACTGGCTGCTCTTGCACAGAATCTGGGTTTGATTCCCTGAACCCACTTGGTGGCTCACAAACTTCATGATCTTCAAGGGCACTAGTCGTGCCTCCCAGAGGTGCCTCTTTAACATATCAAAGCAGACCTGGCTGCCAGCTTCTCCCTGCAGCTCTCAGTTCCTCCCTTTAAAAGGTGTGGCTCACAGCATACCCCGCCCTTTACCCTGAACTCTCCAGACCAGGGGGTGGGCTGCCCTTTCCCCAGAGGCTCTTCCCTATATAATCCAGACATTTTAGTTAACCCCCCTTCCCTTTTGTACTTTTAGCCTCCTGGCTGCTGTACCTGGTTCCCTTCTCTCTTCTCCCTTCTCCTTCCCCTCTCCCTACTTGGCCCAGTTCAGTCTGATAACTATCTGGCTCTGCTCTCCCACGTACCTATAATAAACTTTCTCCTCCACCATACCTAGGAGCAGTCATGTCCTTTCCTTTTTCTTTTTTTCATTCACTGGCAACACACACACACACACACACACACACATACACACACACACATACACACACACACAAATCTTGAAAGAAAAGTCTACATTTGAGGCCTTTCATAAGTTTGAGGCCTGTGTGAAATGACACACCCCTCCAATCCCAAATAGACCCTGTGCTAAATTTTGCTTTCTCTTTCTGGGATAAAACTCTAATCAAAAGCAACTTCAGGGGGGCTGGAGAGATGGCTCAGAGGTTAAGAGCATTGCCTGCTCTTCCAAAGGTCCTGAGTTCAATTCCCGGCAACCACATGGTGGCTCACAACCATCTGTAATGAGGTCTGGTGCCCTCTTCTGGCCTGCAGGCATGCACACAGACAGAATATTGTATACATAATAAATAAATAAATATTAAAAAAAACATTTATTTATTTATCTCTCCAGCCCCCATAAATAAATGTTTTAAAAAAATTAAAAAAAAAAAAAAGCAACTTCAGGAGGAAAGGGTTTGTTTGTTCTACATACCCTGGGTTCCAGTCCACTGAGGTAAGTCAAGACAGGAACCCAGAGGCAGGAACTGAAGCAGAGACTATGCAGGAATGCTAATGACTGGATTTCTCCATTACTTTCTTCTTTTGTTTATTTATTTTTATTTTTTATTTTTTGAGATAGGGACTCTCTGTGTATTCCTGACTGCCCTAGAACTCACTCTTTGTAGACCAGGCTCACCTTGAACTCAAAGACCCAACTGTCTATGCCCACTCAACTTGCTTTTTAAAATACAACCTAGGCAACACTCATAGTAGGCTGGACTCTCCCATATCAATCATTAATCAAGAAAAATTCCCCTGCAAATTTGCCTGCGGGCCAGTCTGATGGAGGCATTTTCTCAATTCCCTCTTCCCCGACGCTTCTCAAGTTGACAAAACACTAACCAGGGAAGACCCTCTGTGGAGACAGAGCAAGGCCAGTGGACCTGCAGCCTTGCTACCAACGTCTGACCAAATGGTTACCTCATGAACTCTGTTGGCTTCTGCTGCCTTCACTCTGGTTTGGTCATGTGACCTAGAAATTTCATCCCGTGCTTCTTTTAAATGAGGTTTTCTGCACATCTACAGCGGAGCCCCAGGCAGAAAGCAGATCTGGGCCTTTCCTCCAAGAGTCCTTCTCATCAATTTACATTTATTGCCTTGCCCTGTACAAGGCACCAGAGAGGTAAACCGTGCTCTGACTCTGTATTTCACTGAACTTGCGTTTGATTCACTATCTTTATTTATTTATTTATTTATTTATTTTTTTTTTTAAATATTTATTTATTATGTATACAATATTCTGTCCGTGTGTATGCCTGCAGGCCAGAAGAGGGCACCAGATCTCATTACAGATGGTTGTGAGCCACCATGTGGTTGCCGGGAATTGAACTCAGGACCTTTGGAAGAGCAGGCAATGCTCTTAACCACTGAGCCATCTCTCCAGCCCTATCTTTATTTATTTATATTTATTTATTTGCAGACCTGAAGAGCATCCCACCAAGCAGAACCACTCGCCTGACCCCTCTGCCTTGCCCTCAACCCTGCTCCACCCAAGATTTCCTATTCCGAAGAATTCCCACAGAACTCCCTGGAGGGCGGGGAACACCCGTTTTAACCGGCCCAAACCAGATAATGGGGATCATTATTAAGCCAGAGTCTCCTTAAAAATCCGAAGCATTTCCAGATTATAGTTTCCCTGGTAAATGACTGGATCCTACGGGTGTCTTGGACTAGAGATGCGTATTACAAATACGTTTCCATAATTTGTAGCTAGCTCAGCTTTTCCAACCCTTTGGGGGTTTTCACTGGCTCCAACTCAGGAAGAATTTTGTTCTGTGGGATCCAAGACCAAACATTTCCTGGAGATTTTGCTCTATTTTATGACCTCCACCTTCTTCCTCCCAAAGACCAAAGGAAAACATTTCTGATAGATGCAGGCTGCCAGCAGCAGCAGCAGCAGCAGCAGCCGCCGCCCGCCTGTGGGCCTAAGATTCAGGTGAGCCTCTGCTTATTTCTTGGCAGCAAGGCCTGAGTGTGCCGACCCTTTATTTTACGTTTTTGTTATTTTGTGTTTGACTGCCTCACTATGGCACCTCAGCAGGCCTGGAATCACCGTGTAGACTACACTGCCCTCATACGCACCGAGATCCACTTTATCTCCTGGGTGCCGGGGCTGAAGGTGTGCATGCACCCACCACAGCCCGTGGCTGAGATTTTAATTACCCACGCCTGGAGCTTTGGGGAGGAATAGGTCTTGTACAGGACACTTATTTGTGTTCCAAGGACCGCCTCTCATCGAATAGGAGTTGTAGGGGACTTACAAAACACAGGCAGCCAAAAGCATGGACACGTTGAATATATAGTTAGCTCTGATTTTCCCTGATGGTTTGGTAAAACCCGGATGGGGTGTATTGGTTTAGCAGCTGGACGATAGGATTCAGGGTTTTATTGGGAAATATCCCTGCCTACTGTATCCTGTCAGCCCAGATACGGTAGACTGGGGTAATCAGCTCACTTCCCTGCTACTGATCAGGCCTATTTTCTCTGTCCCTCCAAGGAAGGCCGCTGGCTCAGGTAAGGTTCCCCTCACCTAACAAAGTTACAGAAGTCTTGCCCATAATTTCTTTAAGTCTTGCCTGAACTAGACTCTGCCCCTTCAGGGGAGGAACCTTGGCATTCTAATCTCCTTTCCCACCCCAGGGACTGGTCCAAGGCCAGTGGATAGATACTGTTAATGTGAATTGGCACTGGAGGGGCCGCCCCAGACTGCCAAGACAGTTCCTGGCACTCGTCATCTTCAATCCTCACCACTTCTTTCTTCATCGTCGTGGTCGATGGATGCCTCTAGCCAAAAAAATAGTCTCCAGTTCAGGTTATAGTACTCCTGCTATGACTACTGTTACCAGGAATCCCACCCCCACCCCCGACCAACAAGCGCCTAAAGCCTCCAGTTGCTCCTGCCTCTGGAGACCCATCCATCCCACTCCGGCTGGGGACGCACAGGGAGAGTGGGATTGCCAGCAGGCAGGGAGCGCGACCACGGTCAGGGTTGGGGGCTGTCTGCAGGGTGGGGCAGCTCTGGCCGCCGCCTCTCCCCGCCTTCCCCATCCCCAAAGAGGACACCCCTCCTTCCGCCCTCCCGCCCGTCCGCTCCCCACCCTCGCGCGGTACCGCCTCCCCGCGCCGCCCTCGCCCAGAGTCTCTCCGGCAGCCAGCAAGCGCGGGGAGCGCTCTGGGATGGGACTTGCAGGCGGCGGCTCAGGACACGGCGTTGGCGCGGGTTTCTTCGTCGCGTCCCGGGAGCGGTGCTCCAGGAGCGCTGCGGTCGTCAGCGGGGCGAGGCGGCGAACGACCGAGACGGACCCACGCGGCTGCGCCCCTGCCTCGCTTTCCTGGTGCCGGCGGCGGTGGCTGCAGGTGAGCGCGGCGCGCTGCCCCGGGCGCGGACAGACTGAACCACTGACCAACAGACGCACGCACGTGGCGCAGTCGGGGAGCCGCTGTTCATTGGGGAGCGTGGGTGAGGGAGGTGGCACTGCTGGGTCCCCTTCAGCCGGGAGAAGTCCCGCCACGCCGGGCCAGGCGCAGGACGCACGGCGCAGCAGAGGTCTCCGAGTGCCCCGCGGGGGCGCTGTACCCCGCCGCAGGGACACACAGACCCTCACCACACCGACTAGGGAACTGGAGACTTGTTGAGCGGTTTTGTTGTGACAGTTCTAATTACCAGGTAGAAAATAACTCTGTTCCCCCTTGTAGACTGTTATCGCAAGGCCAGGGTCGTTTGGGTTTCCTTTGCGTTCTCTATAATTGCTCCGACTTCCTTGCATTGCAGGAGAGGGATAGGAAGAGGGCATTTTGTGGTAGTTGCTGGAAACCTGGAGAACAGTTTGGGGAGAGGACAGAAAAATATGGAGACAGCCCTTGGTAAGGGAGTAGGTGTCCTGGGAGATGTCCTGGGAGATGCTCAGCTCAGGGACATGCTTCCACTATCCTGAACAAACCCAATTACGAGTCAACAGTGAGAACTGTGGCACTCTCACAACGCATCCGCAGTGTGCACTTCCCATCAGCCTTTGAGGAACGGACAATGAGGCTGGAAAGCCCGAGTGAAGACCAGATGCTTGGGAACCAGTTCGGCCTCGTTCATACTCCAGCTGCCAAGCTTACAGGCTGGAGTGCTTGGAGATAACCATCAACAGTTGGCTTCAGTTTCCTCACCCATCGTGTGGGGATTCTAATGCCTACAGGATTAAATGAGATTCAACAGAAGTCCAGAGAGTAGTTCTACGGTTAGTGAGCTCTGCCGCCCACCTTTCTGGGAAAAGAATAACGTCCCGTGAACAGTGAATTCACGCCCAACCCACCCCCTTTCTAGGGAAATACCTCTTGAGGGATGCACTAAAAAAGCAGGTAGTCTATATTTGTTAATAGGGCTTTGTGCCAAAATCCATTCTAGCACCATTGCCCCTGCCTGCTTTCAAAGGGATAGTTTCACAAAGCCAATCAAGATACCAAGGTGGGTTTGCCCCCGGGAAGTTTTCCTCTACATCTCTGAAGGCTAATTAATGCCCGCAGGTTTTCATCTTCTGTTTTCCTTCTCTTCCTACTTTTATTCCAGTCTATAGGATTCAGCCTCAAGACCCTATACTACCAGCCAACTCTTTTCTATAAGCCAGGGTTCTGCAGGTCCTGGCTCTGGAGTCCAGACCCAGGCAGTCAGGAACCGTTAAGCCTGAGGTTCATTGCTGGAGGTACCATAGCATAATTGAAATCTGAGACACCCTTGACAATTGGCCAGCCCTCATCTCCTACCAGCTAAGACCATCCTTCTCTGACAGCACTTGAAATGTAGAGAGGTCAGGGGATTGGAAATTCAAGGTCATTTTAGTTATATAGTAAGTCCAAAGCTAACCTGAACTACATGAGACCCTTTCTCAAAAAAAAAAAAAAAAAAGAAGGAAAAAAGACAATTGAAATCATGCTTAAGATTTTAGAAAAAGCAAAGAGATAATGCTCTTTGAAAGACAGGGGAGGAATATAAACCACTGGAGAGTCTGGAAAAAAAATGCAGTTTGCCTAGGAGCATAGAGAGATGTGGGGGTGGGGAAGGAGAGAAGGCTTAGTAGTCTCCAGGAAAGCTGGCTGAGTGGGCAGTGGCTAAGGAGATGCTAGGACTCCATGCAGAGGTGAGAGCTGCCAGGGCAACCAGGGCCTCTCTAGGAGTCCCCTGGAATTTGCTTGCTGGTTCTATACCATGCGTAGCCTCCTGTCCTGGGAGTCCCAGTTCTCTGGGGGGAAGCTAAGCAGGACTCCCTTCCCTGTTTAATATGCACAAGACCGTGGGGAGGGCTGATACCCCAGAGAGTGGTGCTTGTAGTGTTGCTAGGAAACAGTGCTGGATGCTCTACCAAGAGTCTGGCCAGCCCTTGGAGCCCGTGAGGTCATCTCTGAATTCGGCAGGACAGTTAAGACAGTTCAGCAGTCACAGTCACCACACCCGGAAGGTGGCTTGGTGGCAGGACTGGGCTAAGCCCTCAGCCCCTGTCAGTGGTGAAATGACAGTGACCTGGACAGATGAGGGGTCTACAACTCAAAGCACTGTTCTTAATATCTGTCCCAGCTCCTCACGCCTGTAAAGACTTTAAAAGTGCTGCGGGCCCTGTGCCTCAGTTTCCTCATCTATAAACCAGGAGTAGGAATGCTGGGAAAACTGACCTAGCTTACACACAAGGAATGCTTCATGCAGTGGCTGGCTCTGAGCAAATGCTTGGTGCTTACCACCACCTTGGCTTTGGTTAGATCACTCCTCCAGCAGGTGAGAGACGGTCCTAGATAATGTCGTAGGTTCTGTAGATCAAATGTAGTTAATGTGAATCTGTCCAGGACTCTAGCTTGCAGAATGAGCTGGTTGAAAGTGACAGTTTCACGAAATAGCTGTGCATTAAAAGCAGTGACTAAGCAGGTTCTAAGAGCCCTGGTGGGGAAGCCACTGTTGGAATACTCATTGCCACTTAGGGTTGTTGTAAGAGCTCCCCATGGCCGCTGAAACAAGCCTCCACACGTGTAACGGCTTTCCACTAATTCATTGTCTGGCGGCCCCAGAGCTCAGAAGCTGAAATGGGTTCCCCAGGGGTTAAATGGAAGCATCAGCAGTGCACATTCTTTCTGTCAGCTCCAGGGAAAATGTGGCCCCTTGTGGTTTCTGACTTCTAGGACTTCCTGCCTCGTTGGCTCTGAGTCTCTCCTTCCATTTTCAAACGCAAGAAGAGCATCTTCCCATCTCTCTGTTCTGTCTCTCACTCAGTCTCTGCATCTCTGTCCTTCCCAGTTAGCCTGTCCCCCTGATACCTCTTTCCCTCTGCCCCTTCCTTCTAATTGCCCTTCTCCCATCACTGTCTCTCAGATTCTTGTGATGACATTGAGCCCATGAGGAAAATGAAGGCTCACTTCATCATCTCAAACATTGGGGCATCAATCCTAAAATCCTAAAATATCAGACAGGTTTTCTGTGAAGCAGGATTTTTGAAGGACTGTCCTACCTTGTGTTGGCAAAACTTGACAGTCACCTTTCTGGCCTTTGCAGTTTTGGTGTGGCTGCAGGTCAGATCTAGGGCTGTGACTATGGGGGATGGACAGGAAGACATAAGCATAGGAGACAAACTGCAGGCAGAGACCCAGACTCAGTGTGGGGAGATGTTACCATGTCTATCACAGTGTGGTGATGGGTTTTCCCAAAATGTGATTGCTTGCAAGAGAAGGAACTGACTTACATGTGAGTCCTCGAAGGGAGTTTTGTCAACTGTATTTTGAGCCAAGTATTGTTCAAGGAAGGCATGTTTGCCAAAATGACCCCAATTGTGGTTGTTTGGGGGTGCTTACAGAAATCAGTTGAGTTTAAAAGTGCCAGGAATTTCCACTTAAAATTCAGTAATTAGTCTTGAGTGTGCAACATCATTATGATAGGAGTTGAATAGTGCTTTATACTGTAAAAGTCATTTAGATAATGTGCGCGCTCGTGTGTGCATGGGAGCATGCGTGTGTGTGTATGTATGTGTGTGCGAGCCTGGAAGCATGCTTGTGTGTGTGTGTGTGTGTGTGTGTGTGCATGGGAGCATGCGTGTGTGTATATGTATGTGTGTGCGAGCCTGGAAGCATGCTTGTGTGTGTGTGTGTGTGTGTACATGGGAGCATGCGTGTGTGTATATGTATGTGTGTGCGAGCCTGGAAGCATGCTTGTGTGTGTGTGTGTGTGTGTGTGTGTACATGGGAGCATGCGTATGTATATATGTATGTGTGTGTGTGAGCCTGGAAGCATGCTCATGTGTGTGTGTGTGTGTGCATGGGAGCATGCGTGTGTGTATATGTATGTGTGTGCGAGCCTGGAAGCATGCTCATGTGTGTGTGTGTGCATGGGAGCATGCGTGTGTGTATATGTATGTGTGTGCGAGCCTGGAAGCATGCTCATGTGTGTGTGTACATGGGAGCATGCGTGTGTGTGTACATATGTGTGTGTGAGCCTGGAAGCATGCTCATGTGTGTGTGTGTGTGCATGGGAGCATGTGTGTGCGTATACATATGTTGTGTGAGCATGGAAGCATGCTCATGTGTGTGTGTGTGTGTGTGTGTGCATGGGAGCATGCTCGCATGTGTATGTGTATATTCATGGGCAACGTAGAAAAAGACATCAGATCCCCTAGATCTGAAATTATGGGAATTGCCAGAATAAGTTTGGGGAACTAAACTTCAGTTTTCTGGAAGAGCAGCGAGTGCTCTTAACTCCTGAGCTATCTCTTGGCCCCTTAAGGATGACTTTATAAGAGCGACAGGATGTGCAGCTAAGTTGTCTATAGTATGGACTCGGAACATACTGAAAATCTGACTGCCTTTATGGTTTATAAATTAGGACTGTTGGCCTGGGATAAGATTTCTAGTGACATATAATATATGGACTCAAAACTGGCTGTGTCCCAAACAGCCCAGAAGGGAAGCTGCTGAGAACCCCAGAAGGCATCTTTAGTGTTAATACGCCATCTGTGTTAGAGTAGCATTCAAAAACATCGTTTTACAAAACAGAGAACTTTGTTTCATAGAATATTTTCTGTCAGCTGGGCGGTGGTGGTGCACACCTTTAAACCCAGCACTCAGGAGGTAGAAGCAGGCAGATCTGAGTTTGAGGCCAACCTGGTCTACAGAGTGAGTTCCAAGCCAACCGGGACTACACTAAAAACAACAACAAAGAATAGTTTACATCAAAAAGCACTATTTTACAATTTAAAATGTTTTCAATATAGATCTATAACAGCTGACACATTATTATAAGAATTTTGATAGTTTATCTTTAGTCTTTAAAAAGGATGTGTCTGGGTTGTAAGACATTGCAAGTGAGCAAAGATGAGCAGACGGAGGGTGAACTGAGA